TCCAAAATTTTTGTGTTTTCTTTGTTGGGTCGGGTACTTCAGGAACCACTCTCGTATACTTCCTGATATTAAATATTATTTTCTCATTAATTTCGTCACTTTTCAATACAATATGTGATACGTTGCTTTAATGATAAAGAACAAGATTTACGAAAAATAATTTTATACGTATAACCTAACGTCGTGGAATATTGAACTTTTGCATCTTCTAAACTATGAGTCTAGACAGGCTTTCAGCCAGGAAGGGAAGGGCCAAATATTTATTTTCACACAGAATTGATTAGCATGTTTATATTAAAGTTAGTTCTTGTGGACCTTCACTAAAATTTTTTAATATTTCTTTCTTTCGCGAGCATCATTTTTTTATGTAGCATACATATTTAGCATACAACATTCGCATACATAGTCCACTGCAGTCGTATTCCGACATTATTGACCGTAATCAGGTTTTCCGCCTTCGTAATGTACTAAAAAACTTTTCAATGATGCTCATTATACACAGTTGAATCAAAGAACGTATGGTAGTGAAATTAAGAATTTTCCATTACATTAGTTTTCATAAAATATTGCTAATGTTTTGTTAGTAGTTTTTAATTACGGAACATATACTGTAGCTTCTTTGTAGAATGTAAATTATAATGTAATGTATCAGTCACATATCTTTACTTTTATGATTTTCATAACTTAATTGGCTTCCCTCTTATCAAAAATTAAATATAATCAAGTTTTCCTGCTCTCCTTGGCTATGCCCTCGGCTATGCCCTTGTTCTAAGTTATAGATGCGATATCTTTTTCAGGTTTCCAACTTATTTTGGCATTGAAAGCAGGCGATATAATCATGATAATTAAAACCATAGTAGTGCAGTGCGATCTATTGGCACAGATATTTGCCTATAGCTATGTGGGAGAATATCTGAAATATCAAATTGAAGAAGTTGCACATGCGATTTACTGCAGTAATTGGTATTCCTTATCGTTTAAACTGATGAGAAACACCTTGTTTGTCATGGTACGATCACAGGAACCTATTCAGCTAGCGGCCGGCAACGTTCTTGCCGTAAACATGGAAACTTTCATGAGTATAGTAAAAACTTCTCTTTCGTATCTGTCCGTGTTACGTGTGATGGTGGAAACGTAGAGCGAGGATAACCGATGAAAGGCTTGGAAAGATAATCGCACATCTAAACAATATCACGGTTTCGCAAATCCGAAGAAAAATATATTCTTGTCCATATAATAAAATTTTGGACATTTAAGCAATTCGGTGATATTTAAATTGCGTCACTTGACTTAATATTAATTATTTATATGCCTTACATGTATAAATAATATATCCTTAAGCATATACATATGTGTAAATTCTACGTCGCCATAGTCAACTCTGCAGTATCAATCAAATGCAATACCGTGTGTGTACCTCGTGTTGACTGCTCCTCTTCTGTCTCCACCGTTATTTTCTACATTATTTCTTACCGGATATGTGATTTATATAGCAGTATATTGAATTGCCGCTGCAGGAGCATATGTGAGAGAAAGAACGAAAACAGAGGCAGAGAGAAAAAGCACGTAACCGCTCTAAGTCAAAGAAGCCAGATCGTGGGATTACTGTATCGTGGAAACATCACGCTACATATAAAACCTACGGTACACGATTTGTTTTTGTTATTGGATTGTTTGCGTGCTCGTTTTTGTTATTGAATTGTTTGCGTGCTAGAAATACTACATTCTAATTGGTGCATTTTTGGGAATCACATGAATTATGATCTCGAAATCTCACAATCTGGCAGCTCAGGCCTAAGTACGTGGCGTGTTCTTTCTCTCAGGCGTATCCTTGCAGCGACATACTTCTTTGTATTTAAGTGAGACACTCTATATAGCAATGTCATATATATATATATATATATATATATATATATATATATATGATGTGACGATGCAAAATTTTGCCCGTCACTCAGGCCTGACCGAGGGGGAGCCGGGAGCTCGCGCCTTCTCGCGGAGAGAGGGCGATCGAGTGCCGATTTTTGGTCCCGTGCGCCATTTGCGCACAGGACGGATACCCGCGGCTTTGATAATTCTTTCTTTTGAGTGGAGAGACACTCGCGAGCCAGGACAACGGAAGACGAGAGAAAGAGCCCGACGGAGAGGCTGGAGAAAGACGCGGAGGAACAGGGAGACCTACGCCAGGACGGGTGGACAGCAACAGATAATGGGATGACCACCTTGCGATGAGAAAGGCACAAGGTCCCGCGACCCGGTCACAGGTCGGACAGAGAAGGATCCCGTGAAAAGCGCGCCCGGGAGTCCTCTGGAACAACTGCAAACCTTAAGAGTTGCCGAACGCCGCCCGGGAGAGTGTATAGGCGAAAAAGCGTCCTAGGTAAACAGTAACAGACGCAAGGTCCTCAAGGACGCATGATCCAGCCGACGGAACAAATCGGGAGCCGCGTGGCGCAGCGTGATAGATCCCTGGGACGGTTGCTCTAACGAAACGGGACGAGCGAGGCTTGTCACTATGCGGCTCGCACGCGTGCGAACGAGTGAACGAGCGAGCGAGGACCCGGACCGTTGCGGAGTCCAGGAAGGAGCTCCAGAGGAGAAGAGAGACGAGCGTCCGGCGGCGAGCAGTTGAGCGAGTTATCATACAGCCGCGGGCGAAAACATAGAGTCGCAATTAATTCGGGAAAGTAGCTTCGCGAGTACTTTCGGAAGGTTGCCGCCGCTTCTCGGCAGCAGGTAGAGTCGCGACCATCTCCGGAAGTTGCCGCCGCTTCTCGGCGACTAGAGGACGGGACTCGGTCGTCCTAATACATTGCCGGTCGCACAGTCCGCGCTAACTCGAAATCCGAAAGCGTGTGTACGGACTCGCACGTAAAGAATTAGACTATACGTAGGGACTGCTGCCGGCGANTCGCACGTAAAGAATTAGACTATACGTAGGGACTGCTGCCGGCGAGCGAGTACGTCGGAGAGTACCGACCCGGCCGGGGCAGAAACTACTGCCGGGGAGGACCCGGCTGGCGCCCAATTAGAGACCCGGAGAGATTCGCTCAACGGTTGCCGGGCAAGGGAGCTTAAAACACGACGCGAGTAACTTTCTTTGCTGCTGTCGAATGGCATAGATCCGCCGCTGGAAGTTATGTCTCGCGGGACAACAGGCGAGACACGCTCCTTTAGAATCTGTTGCCGAATCTCCCGGGGTAGGAAGTGAAGCCGCCTGTTCGCGAGCAGGCAGGCCGAATCGAACGTTACATCTTTTGTCGGCTCAAACCAGCGTGATCTAGTGCCTCACATGACCGCTGTATGATCGGATAACATTTTTCTTGTATTACTTCAAATCAATATTAAAGCTTTGTCATTGTTACTCCTAACACGTCTCGTCAAGATTAATTACCTCTTCCGGCTCCCCTATATATATATATATACCTTCCTTTAGTGCCATATCTGTGTCCAGGCATAGGCGACTTCTCTCATATGCTTGTGGTGCGCACGTTGATTATACACAAGCATATGGGACCTACAGTTTAACGCCAGTTCCGAATGGCAATGTTTTTAGAGAGGTTATACTAGGCAAAGATACTCTCGATGGTTTGCCATTGCCTTCCAAGAGAAAATACGAGCGTAAATATTTTGGTTTCTACCAGGATTGAACCCAGGACCGCTGGCATATATATATATATATATATATATATATATTGTTACGCTCGCATGGGGAAATAAAACGAGACAACGTTAAGTGGGAAACAACTTCAACTATATATTTGCTATTTACAAGAAAGCACCCGTAACTCACAGACTCAAGCTCTTTCTCTCGCGAAAGACCGACGTACACATCACGGCGATTCGACCGCTCCAGAGAGAATCTCTCAAACCCGTTGTTTATCGGTCAACGCTGATCATCTGTTGTTGACGACTCGTTGTCAATAGAATCAGCTGTACGTTCAGAGCGCTAAAAACGCGTGCATCAAGACACGGGCGTAACAATATATATATATACCAGGTGTAGAAGTATGAAACCGGAATTTCCCTATAGATGATGCTAGCCATCAGTTTAAGGACCGTAAGACCGCTTCTGCAGCACCATCATCTCCCTCTAACAGCTGACGAAGATTTTCAACACACAAAAAACCAAGTTCCATACACCGGTATATTTTTCTATAACCTTAAACATGTCGAGTTTTGTGCCTACAAACTATGATTTGCGGACAGCATTGGTTTTTTGTTATCATTTGAAGAGAACTGCTGCAGAATCGCATCGAATGCTTGTCGAAGTTTACGGTGAACATGCTCTTGGTAAAACACAGTGTTTCGAGTGGCTTAAAAATTGAAAAGTGGTGATTTTGACGTGAGAAACAAAGAGCGTTNTGCTCTGTGTTTCGTGGGATCAGAAGGGTGTAATCTATTATGAGCTGCTAAAACCTGGTGAAACCGTTAACACTGATCGCTACCAACAGCAAATGATCGATTTAAATCGAGCATTGCGTGAAAAACAACCGGAATATGGAAGAAGGCAACACAAAGTCATTTTGCTCCATGATAATGCCCCATCACACACAGCAAAACGGGTCAGGGAAACGATCGAAGCGTTCAGTTGGGAAATACTAACGCATGCGGCTTATTCTCCATACTTGGCTCCGTCCGATTATTATCTATTCACATCAATGGGACACGCTCTCGCTGAACAACGCTTCAATTCGTATGAAAATGTACGAAAATGGCTCGATAGCTGGTGCGCTTCAAGAGAAGAAATGTTTTTTGGTGTGGCATTCATAAACTGCCGGAGAGGTGGGAAAAATGTATAAATAGCGATGTACATTATTTTGAATAAAATATTTTTTATCATTTTCAAACAACAGACGTGTAATTTTTACAAAAAAATTCCGGTTTCAAACTTCTACACCTGGTATATATATACACAGAAATTAACTACTCCTACGATTGAGGAGAGGGACGCAAGACGTGAGGGTGCAAACGGATCGCTGCGTTTTCGCGCTTTTTTTATGAGAGGGCGAAAAATGTAACGTGATTCAGATGTGGGGGTGAGAATGAGTTGCGTTAGTTTATAACGGGAAGTTAGAACGTTAAACAGTTTGTTTTTCTAGGATAGTATGATCTTTCCGACTCTATGGCGCAATGATAGCTAGTCGCGGCATTTTCCTTTATACTATTCGCAGACGGACGTTTTAGGAAATAACAAACGTATCTGGTGGTGCATTATTGAGATCTCATGAGCAAATTTTGGATCTATGTTTTATGACGGGCCAACGTTTTTCCACATCCATCTGGTCTCTTAGGCTATGTTCTTATTACAGATTTATTACAGGGTATCGCTTGGCCAAATGTGTGTTTCCCAATGCAAGAGAACAAAAGTTTATAAGAAAGGAAAAGGAAAAAAATTAATTGCCCATGAAGTACGCAGGACATAACAAACGGATGGAGCATTTCGCCTTTTTCGGAGCGGGTTCGGTGCAGTCCTCTGTTTCGACTGTTGTTTGGTTTCCGGGATATAGTAGTGAATCCAAGTTTCGTCGCTAGTAACAAAACGCCGCAAAAAATTTGCTGGGTTTTTTTTAAACATTTGCAAACAGACGGCTGATGTTCGCATGCGAATTCGTTTTTGCTTTGGTGTAAGCAAATGCAGCACCCATTTTGCACTAAGTTTTTTCATGTGCATTCATTATGCAAAATGAAGTGAACCCGTTTAGTTGAGATGCCTGTGGCCTCTGCTAACTCGCGCATTTTCACTCGTCTGTCGGTCAAAACCATATCATGGACTTTATGGATGATTTCTGGCGTCACAGCTGATTTCGAGATTCCAGAATGTGGTACATCTTCGATGTTTGTTCTGCCACGTTTAAATTCATTTAGCTAAAGTCGAATGGTTGCATAAAAAGGAACTGAGTCATAAAATGTAGGGGAAATCTTCCCATGAATTTCCATCTCTATTTTCCCTTCCAAAAAAAGTTGAATCACACCACGAATTCCAATACTACCCATTTTTCACTGTCACTCGAAACACTTCTGTTTAAGCAACTCTGTCTAAGCAGCTCTGTCAAATAACAAATTACTGTCAGAATGACTTGTAACCAAAGAATATTCATCCATAAGTAAGGCACTTTATGATCACATATACAAATG